GATGAACTCTCGTGGTTTATGAAACCATTCGCTCGACACGGCGAATCAAATTTGGCTCGGATCGAGCGACACGTACGGTCCGCGAAATTGATCGATTGAGACGAACAGAACATGGATCTGCCACCACGCTCTAGTTCGCGCGACCCGTTCTTTGATCGAATTTCGCGCGATGCATAAACAGCGAAGCTTCCGGTTCTAATATTAACTATTTAAACATTTCTAAAATAGTTTTTCTCTTTATTGTTAAAAGTGAAAAAGCTTTTTCTCCCATTCTTTCTGCAAGATATTTATCTCAGTCTTCTCAATTCGAACAGCAAAAAAACAAGATTTTTCGTTCTTTTCGTAAAAATTCACCTACAATGATACCTTAAACAAAAGAGTGTGCTCCTCTTGGTGATGCCAGTGCTTCATATATGGTGTACTTAACAAATCGAATGTTGTTTAGCGTGGTCTGTTCTCTTATCGACAACGATACGCGTCATCACAGTGGTCAAAATGTTGTGGACTCAAACAAATTCGAAAAATAAAAATGGTAAAAAATGGTAAAAAATGGCGTTCGGGTTGTTTTTGCCAGTGGGCTGCACTGGTTCTTTTCCTTGCCTCGGACGCTAAGATTTCCCTCTATGCAAACACCCTGGCTTTACGACAGAAGACTTGATACATCGAATTGCATTGAGTGTTTTGGTTGTTTAAATGATCTCCTTAGATCTTTCCACTACATTGAAACTACGCCCTGCGACCCCTCTCTGTACCCCACCCCTTTTCCCCTGTTTTCCCTGACTTGCACCCCGTGCGTACTTATGTTACACATCTATGGCATGCACTTAGTTGGCAAACAAGAGTTCTGACCTGTCTCTAAAAGAGAGTGCAAGTAAAAGCAAACGAACCTGATAACAGAAGTCTCGCAGTCTGAAATTATCGCCCAGAGTATTCTTGCAATAACTTCTGACCAATCATGTAAGCGGTCGCTTGTCCAGGGTCGCTCTAGGCTGCAGCGACGCTCTAGTACTAGTCTCCCACACAGTCGCTATTTGGGCTCGTCACGCAATCTTTCTACCTTACGATTACGTGATGAGCCCAAATAGCGTCTGCGTAGGAGGCTGCTCTAGTACCGAGTGCAAATAGCATTTTCTTTCCATGAAAAAACAAATTGAGGTTTTCAGGTCACGCGATGCATAACCAATACCGGTTTTAAACAATGGCTGATGTGTTATTTCCTGGTATACCTTATTTGAGAAGGGACACAAATAACGGAGAAGCGATTTGCACAGCCCACAATTTTGACTGGGNTAGTACCGAGTGCAAATAGCATTTTCTTTCCATGAAAAAACAAATTGAGATTTTCAGGTCACGCGATGCATAACCAATACCTCCGGTTTTAAACAATGGCTGATGTGTTATTTCCTGGTATACCTTATTTGAGAAGGGTCACAAATAACGGAGAAGCGATTTGCACAGCCCACAATTTTGACTGGGGGAAACGTCCTCTTTCTACTACCCCATAAATTTACCAAATGTATGCACAAGGGACTGATTTTGCAGTGGCACATCTAGGGGAGGGGTCTTGGGTTCCGCCCCCTTATTTTGGGTAAAAAAGGAAGAAATCACAGAAGGAAGAAAAGTCGACAGGGCAAGTAAAACAAAACTGCCCCCCACTCTTAGCTCAAGGTCTGGATATGCCACTGTTTTGATAGGTTTATTTCATGTCATTTCAAAGTCCCATCAACAAGGAACTTTCAGGCCCTTTGAACAATGACAGAATTTTGAAGAACAGGAGTCTTTGTAGGGCCTTACAATGTTGTGAAATACTTCCTGCCCTAGTTGGTGGAATTACAGGAACTGTCATTAAAAGTTTACATTTTTTAAAAACAAACATGGAAGCAGATTTCCCTTCACTTGAAATAATACATTCATCTTGCATTTATGAGTCACAAAGGTTGCGATTTTCTTGGAAAGTTCCCATGAGAAAATCTTAGAGTTACATTTTGGAAATCTTAAGAGATGTTCTAACATAATAGTCTGCAACCAACAACAAATACAGTTTTCATTAAGACGCGGCTTACATAGCCACAATGTAGTATCACTGAACCAAACCTGGTAGGTAAATTTTGGCAGTGATTATACACTATAAAACACTAGGTTGGTGATTTCTGTTGAAACAATATTTAACTGCCACCCTCTCACCCCCAC